ATAACTGATGTTTATGAAAACTTAAAAACACACTTATTATTGCCAATTATTGATAATATAATACTGTATAACTCAAAAACATTATAGCTTTTTTTTTTTTTTTTTTTTACTATAAATTACTATAGTAATTTTTTCATCTGGGGATATTTACCCCAAACAAAAATTATGCCATCATTTACTCACCTTTAACTAATTCTACTTATTGTTTTACTGTTCAACACAAAAGAAGATATTTTGAAAAAATGTCAGAAACCTGTAACCATTGACTTCCATTGTTTTTGTTTATTCTGCTATTAATGTCGATGGTTACAGGTTTCCAGCATTCTTAAATATTTATTATATCATCATCAGTAGGATAAACAAAACTCAAACTGGTTTGGAATAAATTAAAAGTGAGTAAATGATGGCAGAATGCTCAATTTTGAGTGAACTATCAATTTAACTAAAAATATGAGCTTCTAATATACAAAAATAATAATTAATTACACACACACAGCACTTAATTAGAGTTACATATATATTAGTTACATATTATTAATACATTGGTAATAATTAGTTTAAATATTACATACAGTATAAAGCATGACTGATGCTGACGAAAACATGAAAACACACTTATTATTACCAATTATTGATAATAAAATATAATACTGTATAACTCAAAAACACTACTGCCCCTTTTTTCTTTACTATAAATATATTACTATAGTATTTTTTTTTTCATGTGGGCATAGTTAACCCAAAAGAAAATGATCCTATCATTTACTCAACCTTAACTTATTCCACTTATGTTTTTTTCTGTTCAACACAAAAGAAGATATTTTGAAAAATGTTAGAAATCTGTAACCATTGACTTCCATTGTTTTTGTTCATCCTTCTGTTGAAGTCGATGGTTACAGGTTTCCAGCATTCTTAAAAATATATTATATCATGTTTAATAGGACAAAGATAATGGTTTGGAGTAAATGATGGGAGATTTTTGGGTGAACTAACCAAAAATGAGCTTCTTATATACAAAAAAAAGTATTACACACACACACAGCACATAACTAGAGTTACATATTATTAATAAATTGTTAATAATAAGTTTACATATTGCTATAAAGCATAACTGATGTTGATAAAAACATGAAAACACACGTATTATCGCCAGTTATTAATGTTTTAGTCATTGTTTTGGTGTTAAGCCACATTGTTTTTTTATTATAGCACACTGTGTATTGTTTGTTTGTTGTCATTTAAAGGAGAAGTGTGTATTTTCTGCACTTTAATAGGGAACAAATGGAAAGAAACAGCATGTTTTCTTTGGTCAACCAGCACTGGTTAGGCAAACATATTGGTTCCTAATGTTCTTGTAAATATTTTGTAAAGACTAACCACACACTTCCCCTTTCAGGCCAGAACTCAATGTAATTTACAGGTTTGGAAGAGATTGGGAGGACATATTTTCACCTTGTTTTTCTTTTCTCTCTAATAATAATAATAATCGCAATAGATGTGTATCATATGTTGACTTGTATAAAGTGGCATCAATGTTATGGGTTCATTTCTGCTGTATTTGCCAGTACTGTTGACAATTGTACATATTTGCGAGACCGTACCCTCCGTGGGTGGGTTATTGAAGATGATTAATCCAGCTGCTTGCATGCATGATCTTTAGCCTGACAGCGGTCGACATGTCATGACTGAGTGAATGTGAGCATGAAAGACAGCATGCGTATACAGGGTGCTCTGCCCCAGCTCCACAGTTCTGTAGGGGTGTCTTTTACTTCCTGGTTGGTGACAGTCAAAACAAATATTCTCTTAACAAACCCCTTTTACCTCTTGTGACAACAAGTGGGGCAGCAACAGTCTTTTACAACTGCATACCTGATGCTGCAACAATTGCCTGTGCTCCTGCTGCTGGCCCAAAGCTGCTGAAAGCGATATTACTTATAACACTTAATACTCTATTATCTGTAGATATTTATTTACACTACAACTTTGTTAGCATAAGGACATCTGATATATGGTCATGTATGAACATCTATATAGAAATATAGCTAATATATTGGAACATTTGTGTTTATTTGTAATTCAGATGTAAAATTATGGTGAATTGTAAAATAATACAGTATTTTGAATGATATATATGTAAAATTCAAACTTCTATGTCACATAAATAATTTGCATATGTTGATCAGATGTATGTACGTAAAAATACCATAGTAGTTTATAGTAAACATTATAGTGTGTTTCAACTGTACTATAGTAAAGCATATTGGGTTTAAGACAAATACGTTGTAAAAACATTATAGCTAATATTGTTTATCATATAGTACAGTCTGTAAGTATTTGGTTAAAATTAGTACAGTATGTAAATATTTATGAATAATTATAGCTAAAAAATTTATCCTATAGTACAGTCTGTAAATATTTGGTTAAAATTGCTACAGTATATAAATATTTATTTTAAAAAGATATTGTTAATGTTTTTAATCATAAAGTACAGCATGTAAATATTTATTAAAAATCATAGCTAATATTTTTCATTATATAGTACAGTATGTAAGGATTTGGGTAAAAAATTGTTCGGTATGTAAATATTAATACAAAATTTAAAAAATATTTAAATATTTTGTTAAAAAATCTACAGTATGAAAATATGTATTAAAAATGTGTACAGTATGTAAATATTTATTGAAAATTAGTACAGTATGTAAATATGTATTAAAAATTTATTACAGTATGTAAATATTTATTAAAATTTATTACAGTATGTAAATATTTATTAAAATTTATTACAGTATGTAAATATTTATTAAAAATGAGTACAGTATGTAAATATTTATTAAAATGTATCACAGTATGTAAATATTTATTAAAAATTAGTACAGTATATAAATATTTATTAAAAATTACTGCAGTGTGTCAATATTTATTAAAAATTAGTACAGTATGTAAATATTTATCAAAAATTACAGCTTATATTTTTTATCATATAGTACATTATGTAAATATTTATTAAAAATTAGTACAGTATATAAATATTTATAAAAAATTTGTACAGTGTGTAAATATGTATTAAAAATTAGTACAGTATGTAAATATTTATTAAAATGTATAACAGCATGTAAATATTTATTAAAAATTAGTACAGTATGAAAATATTTATAAAAAATTACAGCTAATATTTTTGATCATATAGTACAGTATGTAAATATTTGGTTAAAAAAATTGTAATGTAAATATTTATTAAAGTTTAGTACCGTATGTAAATATTTAGAAAAAATTAAAGCTATTATTTTTAATTATATGGTACAGTATGTAAATATTTATTAAAATTTGTATAGTATGTAAATATTTTTTAATGTTAGCTAATATTCTGATCATATAGTACGCTATGTAAATATTTATTAAACTTATATAGTTTATGTTTTTAATTATATAGTACAGTACGTAAATATTTGGTTGAAATTAGTACAGTATGTAAATATTTATTAAGAATTAATGCAGTATGTAAATATTTATAAAAAAAATACGGTTAATGTTTTTAATCATATAGTACAGTATGTAATATTGATTAAAATTAGAACAGCATGTAAACATAATTAAAAATGATAGCTAAGGTTTTTGATTATATAGTACAGTATGTAAACATTTGGTTAAAACTAGTACAGTATGTAAGTATTTATTAAAAATGATAGCTAATATTTTTGATCATATAGTACAGTATGTAAATATTTATTAAAATTAGTAAAGTATGAAAATGTTTTTTAATTACAGCAAATATTTTTGATCATATAGCACAGTATGTAAATATTTATTACAAATTATACAGTATGTAAGTATTTATTAAAAATGATAGCTAATATTTTTGATCATATAGTACACTATGTAAATATTTGGGTAAAAATAGCAGAGTATGTGAATATTTATTAAAAATGATAATGCTAATATTTTTATAATATAGTACAGTATGTAAATATTTATTAAAATTCATAGCTAATATTTTTGATCATATAATACAGTATGTAAATATTTGGTTAAAAATTTGTGCAGTATGTAAATATTTATTAAAATTAGTAAAGTATGAAAATGTTTTTTTAATTACAGCAAATATTTTTGATCATATAGTACAGTATGTAAATATTTATTACAAATTATACAGTATGTAAATGTTTATTAAAATTCATAGCTAATATTTTCATCATAGTACAGTATGTAAATATTTATTAAAATTCATAGCTAATATTTTCATCATATAGTACAGTATGTAAATATTTGTTAAAATTGGTAAAGTATGAAAATGTTTTTTAATTACAGCAAATATTTTTGATCATATAGTACAGTAAGTAAATATTTATTACAAATTATACAGTATGTAAATATGTATTAAAAATCATAGCTAATATTTTTGATCATATAGTACAGTATGTAAATATTTGGTTAAAAATGAGCGCAGTATGTAAATATTTATAAAAAATTAGATAGTTAATGGTTTTAATCATGCAGTACAGCATGTAAATATTTGCTTAAAATTAGTACAGTATGTAAACATTTATTAAAAATGATAGCTAATATTATCCGAAACCCAAACATGAACTCGTATATCATATATGTAATTTGCATTTAATGCCATATGTCTCATATAACTCAAGTACTTTCCTATAGTACGGTTTAAAACAATAGAGTATTTAATATAAATTACTATAGAATTTTTTTTCATGAACATGCAATCTCTTTGACAAACCATTTGCTCTTTTTCATACAAGTGCTAAAATGTCATCTACACACTTTCGTGAAATCTAAAATGGCTTACAGCAGCTTTAGCCATCTTGCAACAAATACTTTACCTCAATCCCCATTTGCTTTCCACCAAGTCCGTGGGCTTCCCTCCGATCTTCCTTCCCTAACCCCCTCCCTGGTCTGGAGCACATCCCTCCTGGGTTCCCGTTGTGATTTTGGGGGGGACGCAGTGGGGGGCCTGTATCAGTGTGCCTCTCTCTGTGTCACTCCAGGTTACGGGCTGGTGGTGCAGGAGGAACTAGTGTCACCGGCCTCCATGCAGTACAGTCTGCCCTCGCCACTGGGCAATGAGCCCTACTGGCAGGAGGTTTCCAGCATGGAGTGCGCGCCCATCGCCACCACTGAAGAAGACACGCTCATGGAGATGTCCGAGGTACAGGTTTGGCCCTCAGGAAATAGTCCGTCCATTGTGGCTGTAGAGGACTCCTCATTGGAGTGCAGCAATGCGGACGACTCCGAGGCGCTGCAGAACCGGAGCCTGGGTCACTCCAGGAGCGGGACGCCCGGTGGGAACGGACTCACTCCGGGAGGTTTAAGTGGCTCCATCGAGCTCCTGGAGGATCAGTCCATCGGTGCGGATTCAGACTACAGTGCCGCCGGGATGCTGCGTCTGAGCGAAGGGGTCAACATCAGTGCTCTGGACAGAGGTCAGAGGTCGGAGAGTTCAGAAGGGGCTGTAGGTCACCAAGTCACCAACAACATTAAAGACGGTTCCAATGGAGGTTTGGGAGAAGGAGGAGGTGACGGCACACAGTTAGAAGATAGCATATCTCTCATTTCAGGGCAACAGCGTGTGTATGCTCGAATGAGCGAGTCGCCTGGGCTGAGAAGACGGGCAGATCCTGGCGAAGACAGGTGAGCTGCTTATTGGGCTCGGAATTCTGTTGTGGACCAAAATGGCTTCTTCAGGAAGCATACTTGGGTAAACGTTTACAACTCTTAATTGTAAAGACTATTAAGGGCTCTGGGGTAAGCACTGTCGCTTTATGGCAAGTAGGTCACTGGTTCGAGTCCTGGCTGGACTAAATTTAACTAAATTGGCCATACTGTATGAATGTGAGAGTGTATGGGTGTTTGCCAGTGCCGGGTTGCAGCTGGAATGGCATCCGCTGCGTAACACATATGCCAGAATTGTTGGCCGTACATTCAGCAGTGGCGACCCCTGGTAAATAAGTCATTAAGCCAAAGTAAAATGAATGAATGACTAGTTACTGCCCCCTAGTGTTCATATTACCCAAGAACTTCAGTCAAATGTATGTTTAAGTACTTATTTCCAATGAGCCTGTGTTAGAAACAGGGCTTAATTTGTGCCAGAACAAACCAGATCCGGCATCTCTGAAATCGGCGCCTCAATTTATCGATCCCCCTCATCAACCGCCCTGTCCGCGACTCCTAAACCCTCTTCACTTTCGTCTGCAACACCCTGCCACCATAAACATCCAACACCCTCCTCCCCGTTCTATACTTTTATGCACGACACCTCTTTCTCCTCTGATAAAGGCTGATTTATACTTCTGCGTCAAACGCACGCTAATGCTACGGCGTTGACGCATAGCCCTACGCCATGGCCGTCGGCGTCGCTGACATGCACCTCTCAAAAAATGTAACTACACTTCGCAACGACGCGTAGCGTAAGCTCTGTGATTGGTCGGCTTGGTAGCACTGACGAGTTCGGGCGGGACCGAGAGCCGCGCGAATGTTGCGAGCCTGATGGAGTGATTGTTTACAAGTGTGGAGTCCTGTGAAGGAGCTCCAGGTGGAGCTCAAGTTTTGCTTTGTGTTTACCTCATAGTTAAAGTTGTTGCACGTCCGCCGGTTCCTGCCTTAAAATGAGTGAGTTTGAGCAACTTGTACATCCAGGAAGTGTTCAGGAAAAGCAAAACAGCAGCGAAGAAACTCGACACAGAGGAACATTTACACCTTACTGCCTACTAGCGTTTTCAGAAGTGATAATGCAGACCAACAGAGACAGCGCGCAGAAGTATAAATGCACAGCTACCACGTTGCATGCGCCGTGGGTTACGCCGGTCACTTGACGCAGAAGTATAAACCAGGCTTAACGTGCCTTATCCGTTACCCCGATCTGTTCCGGGACCTCGCAATTCATAAATTCAGCAGTGGTTAGAAATACTGTCAGACTAGTCAATAAACTGACTGTTTACAGAAGTCTTCGTTTAGACGAAGAAGTGCAAAAGCTCTGCTCATTTAGTTGTTTCTTTTCATGGAGTGTCTGCGTTTCTTGCAGGGAAACAAAAGTAAGGCCACTTCCACTCGCACGTCATGATTTTGCCAAGTAAGGTGCGATCCTGGATTAACATTTCTGTCGATCCTAGAACATTATTTTTGCTGAAAAATGTAATCCACACCTATTCCCTACCCCTAAACACAACCATAAGTGAAGTTTCACAAACTAATTTTGAGAGGAGCATGTGATATGATTGACCGCAGCTGATACCTATTGCTAATCATTAGCTAGCCAATCGGATTAGTCCAAATATATTATAAATATACAGCTTAAAGCTGCGGTCGCACTAGAGTTTGAGCTTGCGAAATTCTGTCGTATGGCGCTGTGAAAAGGGGCAGGATTAAACAAGATGATTAGACATTCAAAAAAGCCAGCGATTGCTTCATATTTTAAATTGAGGCCAGGATTGGTCTCACACAATCAAATGATGCGATTTCGCAGGTCAGAGTTCAGAGCTTGAATTTCCAAGGCAGCGATCTGCCAAACTTGCAAGAGCTTGCGTTTCTAGTCTGACGTATTTGTGTGCATATGAATGGGAGTTTATGGGGAGAAAAATTCAGTGTGACCTTAGCTTAACTCCATTACCTATCTTTGTTTAGGAAGACCCCCCCCCCCTCCCCCATCCATCCTTTCTTCCTTCTACTCAATTCTAGGATCGGGCGACACGGCGGCTTAGTGGCTAGCACTGCTGCCTCACAGCAAGAAGGTCGCTGGTTCTAGTCTTATCTGAGCCAGTCAGCACTTTCGGTGCGGAGTTGACATGTTCTCCTCATGTTCGCGTGGGTTTTCCCCAGGTACTCTGGTTTCCTTCGACAGCCTAAAGACATGTGACAACAGGTATCGTTATCGGTATCGTTTGCGGCCGGAAGTAAATGAAAATTATTTCTATTATTTAATAAATTTCCCATTCTGAAAACGTAGTCCCGTGGAGTTTCTGGAGACCGTGAATTATGTAGCCGGAGGTACGTATGGCTGCATTTCACTTTTTAAGCGAACGCTATGGGGCGGTATGACGCCGTTCCTTTTCGCGCTTAACGGCTGACCCCTTATCTCTGTGTGGAGGGCTTTCCCACTGCAACCAGTTTGTTCAGTTAGCTCGTTGTGTACGTCGACGGGCTTGAGACAAAGAGATGAGCTGACGACGACAACTGGGTTCGAGTCCTGGGGAAGAGCGGTTCCAGAAATAGAATCCAAAAAATAAAGTCAACAAGTTCATAACAGGGTAAGAATATGGTAAAATCTGAAAACGTGGTAAAAAACAGATGGGGGCTTTTCTTTTTCTGGACAGCTTTTGTAAATTGTTGGTTGGGTTTAGGGAAGTAAGCGAGCAGGTCAATTGGTAAAATTGGTTGTTTTTTAGGAAAGGAGGAGGAGGGTGGGTCAGCTGATTGGCTGGTCGCCCAATCAATAATTCCAACCCAAGCTCATTCTGGAAACGTAGCCCCGCGGACGTTTCTGGAGACCGCGATTTACATGGCTGGAGGTACGTACGGCCGCGTTTAGTTTTTCTCGAGCGAACGCTGCTGGGTGTGGCGCCGCTCTGCTCCTCCTCTTCGCACTCGCCGGCCAACGGCTCGCCTCCGAGTGGAGGGCTTTTCCGCTGCTACCAGTTTGTTCGCTTAGCTCGCAGTTGAATAATTGAATAATTCAGTCAGTCAGACAGACGGTCGTTCGACAGCGGCCTCTGGCCGGTTTACGCAAGAACAGCGCGGTGCGAACGCCACTTGAGAGAGACAATTGAGATGCGTAAAAGCCATACACAGCGGCCTCTCGCGGATTCGCGAAAACAAAAACTGCAAAAATACGTACCTCTCGAGACGTATTTTGTAGTCTCCAGAAACGAGACTAGTCCACGGGACTACGTTTTCAGAATGAGTCTTGGGTTGATCGTTACGGTACTGTACAAATATTAATTATTGTTATACAGTGTCATAAAAAATGCTGCTATATTAATGTGCATATCGCACTTCCGGCCGGCCACATATCCGATCTAGACTTTACCTTGGATAGCGGAGGGGTGTCGCGAAACTAAGTTAAGAGCCGGGGCGGGGGTTGATTGTTGCGGATGAAAGTGAAAAGGGTGTAGAGGAGACACAGAACAAAGTGAAAGTGAACAGCGGACAGGGGAGGAGGGCGGATGAGTAGGGAGATAGGTAAAATAAGGTGTCGGATCAGATTTCAGAAGTGCCGGATCCAGCTTGTTCCGGCACAAATTAAGCCCTGGTTCTCTCCCAGGACAGCATGCCAAACCTACTAACAAAGTCAAGCGTTATCTAAGTGTGAACTCTTGAACTGTAAATTATTCCCAAAATCAAAGGCAAATAATAGTTGGATAACAATCATGTAAACATAATCGTAAGTCTAAACCTAAGATAAACTGTAAACATATCCCTTAATTCTGATTGGCTGATTGGAATGTTGTTCCAGGATCAACATAGATGTTAATCCAGGAACATGTCCTACTTGGTGAAATCAGGTTAGGGCTCCCACTCTCAGTGTTCACTGCTGACCACGCTGTCATTACCTCCCCTAATTTTCTTTCTCATTTCTCAGGTTAAGCGCAGGGTCGTTCCTGTCTTATCTGCAGGATCAGGGCTCTCCTGGTTGGCATTCGGCTGCAGAAGCGACTCAGAACAGATTGGCGTCTTTGCAATGCTCCCTTCCTAGGCAGGCAATAGAGTCTATGATGTCATCGGTGCGAGCTACGGTGGACTCTGACTCCAAGCAGTCTTGTTTGGGCCAGGAGGCTCTGATTGAGCCAGTGCGGGACATGGGGCACTCTGAGATCATCCATGGCCATTATCAGGGGACTCAGCCGTTTGAGAAAGGACTCGGCTTCCCGCACAGAACAACCAACATGCGCACTTGGGAGGACATGCGTCTGAGCGGACAGGTAAGAAGAGATTTAGTTTTATTGGATTAGATTTCATTCGCATTGTCACATACTGTACCAAGCACTTAATGTTTGCTATTGGCAGTGTAGAATCTTTGTGTGAAAGGTTTGACATTTTGGGGATGTAGTAGACAATTTATTTCACAGTAGGTCTCAAGTTGAAGGTGAAACGTGTTGTTTTTTTATTTGATGTTTGGCAGATTTAATTTGCATTGACACACACCGGGCACTTGATGTTTGCTAGTAGGAATGTAGAATGTTTGCTGGGATGTAGTGTAAAAGGTTTCTTCTCTTAGGTCTTTAGTTGAAGGTCAAGTGATGTGCAAACAGGATTTAATTTCCATTGCTCTATAGGCCTGCCAAAAGGACAATTTTCCAAGAATTCCCCAATAACCTGTAGTCCGTAATTGAGTTATGGTTGGAAATACTCAGCTGGTGGTCAAACACTACACACAAGTTCCTTTGTCACAATCACCCGCGATCTAAAACACCATAGATCACTGGAAAACACTCACAAGTGTAAACGGACTACTTAGCCACCATTTCAAGGACTACAACTCCATACATGCACTCCGCTCTCACACACACATGTTTCTGATCCTGACTGATTACATACACACAGCTGATGCTGCTCAGTTACTGATTACACACACTTATATACAGCTCACTTTGAGACACTCATTGCTAAGTCTTTTGTAACCGGGGAAGTGACACTGACAACAGAAGTGCGGATCCACATGCAGGTTGATTAGCGAGTTCAGGCTAGCAATGGTCAACACAGGGGCAAACAGATGTATGAAGGCAATTCAGAGTCAGAATGGTCAGAAGGCAGGCAGCATACAGGAATAATCAAACAAAACAAAGCAAAGGTTCAAAACACTGAAGGCAAGGCAAGGAAAACTAGTTTTAATGTTACTAAACAGATAACAAGACTAAGCAGCAACTGTGTGTTTGAGATGTGTTCTTATAGTCCAAGTAATCAGTCTGTGAGCAGCTTCAGCTTTGTGTAATCAGTCAGGATCTGGAACATGTGTGTGAGTGAAGTGCATGTATGGAGTTGTAGTTCTTGAAATGGTGGATTTGTAGTCCGTCAACACTTGTGAGTGTTTTCCAGCGATCTATGGTGTTTTAGTTTGCTGGTGATCGTGACATGCTTATTGTTCTGGTGGACACAGTAATTTTGTGTTCGATTGAAAAGTTTGCAGGGATTATGAAAGCATTTTTGTAAATAATTGTATAAAAATGCATTTCACATCTTTAACTATGTGTTAACATTACATGGTAACCAACATTTGGATCTCTATGAATTTTGTGTTATATCATGTTGTAGTTTTTTCACATATTTGATGTACTGTCTATGAACTGAGGGTACAAATGTTTCAATCATTATATCATATTTTAGAGGGACACTTAACTTTTTTTTGTTTTTTTGTTTGTTTGTTTGTTTGTTTGTTTTTGGAAAAAAAGCTCATTTTACAAGTTAAACAGTTGATTTGAAGCAGTTTTTATTCTATTCAGTTGAATTTTTTTATAATTTTGAAAACGACCCCCCGTATACATTTCTGGAGAAAGCAAATTATGTAGCCAGAGCTACGTATGGCTGCATTTGGTCTTTACAAGGCGGTATGACGACTTTTCTTTTCGCGCTTACCAGCTGGCCGCTTACCTCCATATGGATGGCTTTCTCACTGTTACTAGTAGTGTTGGGCAAGCTACTTGAAAAATGTAGCGAGCAAAGCTGTTAGCTACTCTACTTAAAATGTAGCTTAACCACACTAAAAGTTACCCCCTGGGAAATGTAGCAAGCTAAGCTTAAAGCTACAGGGCAAAAGTAGCTTAGCTACATCTAAGCTATTTTTACAATTTTCATTTTTTAATCGAAGCAACTTAAATCCATGTCAATCATATCTTAGTGATCAATAAAACGGTCAATGAATCATATGAGGCAGAATAACTCAGTTCAGTTACTTACTGTAAATAATATGCTGTACTAAACAGAAACAAACCATAGTATATAACAGCAAAAACAAAAAAAAAAATCAATAAAACTAGGTGTGTGTGTGTGTGTGTGTGTGTGTGTGTGTGTGTGTGTGTGTGTGTGTGTGTATCAAGTGTGCCGCAAGCCTACGTTTGAGTGAAGGTTTCGGCCTGGGGGCTGGCTGCAGTACAAGTCATAAAGCCCGCCTCCTCCGTGTTAATGAAGGAGACTTGAGCCCAAATAAAAAAAAATATTAAGCTTGCAATAAAATGTCCCGAAAGATAGTTCTGGTCGATTAAGGCACTGGTTATTGTGCTGAAATAGGTGCAGATCTTCATTTTTGTAAACAGTTTGTTTTTAGCAGTAATTTAATGCTGGGCATGTCATCGTGATTGACAGCTGTGATTGACAGTTTCTCAAAGCGCGGCGTCTGAGCTTCGGCAGGAGACTGAAGTAGACTGAAATGTTATTATTCGATTTCTGTGTTATTTTACCATGACAAAATGAGTTCAGCAGTAAACTATAGTTTCTGACATACATGATCCTGGTGGAACACTGTTTATTCGCTAAGTTCAGGGCTTTTTTCGGGCTTTATTAGTTTGCTGATACACGCCTAGCCACCCAGATAGCAAAACACAGTTCCGGCTAGATTCTCGCCTGCCGGAGACTTATCTCTTAGAGCTCAGACTGACTAATGTTACCTCTGCTGGACCTACTCCGGATGCCTGGACTCACTGCCCGATTCCAGTCCGAGTCAATCGAGCCACATGCGGCGGCCGAGCGAGCAGGCGCTGCCGCATGCGAGCCGGAATCAGCCCGCGACGCCGCGAGTAAGTTATGCGCTGCGGCCTGGAGCTGGCGCGATTGAATATATAAAACCCTCATATTTGTTAACGTTATTACATCCGTTTGTGTTGATATGACAGCAAACGCATGCTGAGAAGTTCGGGGGGCGTGGTTGATTTTACATAAAGCGTTTGATTGGAAGCTCGACTCTGCTCATTTTCGCGGCTCCTCCTCTGGCTCCATCAGACAGTCCTTCTGCGCATGACTGGCTCCAATTTCAGCAGTCTTTTGCGACAGTTTGTGCCCGTCAAGCAGGCGTTTTGCCCTCAAGGCGTTCAATGGGAAAAAGGGCTGTCGCGTCGTCCATATTTTTTACAGTCATTGGTGTGTATATATATATATATATATATATATATATATATATATATACACACACACACACACACCTAGTTTTATTGATTTTTTTTGTTTTTGAGCACAACATCAGAAATTAAGTATTTTTGAGCACAACATCAGAAATTAAGTTATTGCATCCTAACATGTTCTACTCAAGGTAAGGTCACGAGGAATCCTGCTTCACAAATAACTCCGCTCCCTCAGTCATCTTTCCATCAAGGAAGTTTCGGCTGACGACGTCACCAAATAGAAGTGGCAGTAATGCACCAAAAACTTGTTATTGAACAGTGTAAAACAGAAATAAGAAGAAATTGTCATTCTCGCCATCATATGGATTCACTTTCATCGGCTAGACACTGGCCTTAGAGCTCCGTGAATGTCAGTGCCATCACTTGTTGATCCGCGATCTGTAAATGTAGCTTGTGTGGACACTACTGCACTACTTGACTAATAAAATAGCTTCACTACTGAAAAGTTTTTGATTTAGAAAGTAGTTAAAATCTGAAAATGTGGTAAAAAAAATGAGGTCTTTTCTTTTTCTGGATTGCTTTTTAAAACTGTCGGTTGGGTTTAGGGAAGTTGGTGGGCGGGACAATCGGTGCTTTTTAAAACACTATTGGTTGGGATGTAGGGAAGGGGAGGGTGGGGGATCGGTCGGTTAATCTGTCAGCAAGTCAGTCAGGTGACAGCGACCTCTGGTGGGTGTAAGTGAGAACAGCAGGCGTGAATGGCACTTGTGAGAGAAATTTGAGATCTGAAAAAGCATACAAAAGCGGCCTCTGTTTGTGAAAATTCATGAAAGCAAAAACTGCAAAAAAAAAAAAAAAAAAAACTACCTACCGGGACGTATTTGCCGCTCTCCAGAAATGTATATAGGGGTACATTTTCAGAATGAGCCTGGGTTGATTTTATTTGTTCTGGTGGGGTCACTTTTAGCTTAGCTTAGCATAATGAATTGAATTAGATTTGACCATTAGCATTAGCATCAAAACATTTAAAAAGGCGGAGTTTTCTTTAAGGAAATTCCTTTGATTTGTGGTCCATTTCCTTTTAATTTAAAATTCATTCCAACAATGCACTCCCTGTTTTAAAGGAACTGAGAGATATTAAACATGTGAAGGAATTATAAAGCTTACTATGACAGTATTTGGTTGGAGATAGCAGTGATTAGTGGTCAGTCTGACTGTACTTTGCTGTAGAAGCCAAACAATAAACCATATTACTTGTGACTTTATTAAAATAATAAGCCCAAAGTCACAGAATCGATTGCTCTATGCTTTGTTTTCATAAGGTTGATAGAAACTCAAGTCTGCACAATTGTTGGCACTATCATGTGGTTGCACACATACATGTACAGCCAGTCCCTAGATGGACAGTAGACATTGGTGTCTAAATATAGACGTGGTCCACCTCTGTCATCTGAAGGGGGAAGGAATATTATATATGGAGCTGGAAAGCATGGACAATAAGGTCATAAACTCAAAGACACACAATGCGGCTATAGGGAAATATTTATTTTAAAGGATAAAACTATATTATAATTATACATTTTTTTAATTATTTTTTTAATTTTCTATAATTATATTATAATAACACTTTAGCTTAGGTCACAGTTCACTGTATTAACAAACCATTAACTAACACTAATAGCTTAATAAACTGCTGATTAGCTGCTTAATAATAGTTAGTAAGGTAGAAGTTTGGTTTAGGTTTTGATTAGGGATGCAGAATAAGATCATGCTTTGTGACTACTAATCAAGTTAATAACTTAATAATAATCAGGTAAGAAGCCAGTAGTTAATAGGATGAATTGTGACCTAAGTTAAAGTGTTACCATAAA